TGATTAACCTGTTTTTAAATTAACCTTTCTTTAAAAAACACCTTAAGAACCCAGCATAATAATTCTGTTAGTATTCTTTAACACTCAGAGTATCCTTTCTGATGATGAAATTTCTCTTAAAATTTTTTGGCATTTTACTGTTGAACTATTTCCAATTGCCCCCAACTTCGTGAGTCTGAATATAGGCTGTCATTCCATGTGGTTCATTATTTAATTACATAGATGATGATGATGATATGTACTATAGACCTGATATAAAACATACAGTTCTTAAGCGCTCTCCATCTCCCCTGCTATTTTTTGTTCTTCTGTTTCTTGGCTTTTTCAGTAGTTTATTTTCTGTTTATGTTTGGTACACTGGTTCATTTCTTTATTCCCAGCAAAAAAAGTTGACCATTTAAATCTACGTGCCACTCCATGGAAGACAAACATTGTTACTTGTTTTTCTAAAGATTTACAGCCTTAAAAAGCCCTGTTAGAATGGACTTGATAAGTTTGAGTTTGTGTGTCTGTTCCAACTTCCACCTTTTAGAGTAGTTAACTCATTCTCATCACTAGTATTGTTACTGTTCTTTGAATGGAACTCAAGTGACAATATCGAAACAAGCTTCAAAGCTTTTGCAGAACTGTGACAGTTTGGAAGCAGATCCCCAGCCCATCTTGTAAGGTGCCTCTGGGTGGGTGTGGTGATTAAAATTACCTATGTCAGTCTATAGGCATCTGGAAGAGCTCACTCACTGGCTCTGGATCCTGCATCTTGCTCATTGTCCTCTGGCCTCTGGTTCTTGGAATTCATCTGGTCTGTAGATTCTTAGATTAGCCTGTCGCTCCTTAAGTCAGGAGAAGCCTCCAGCCTGACCCTGAACTATTTCCTTGAGATAAGCCTCTGTGTAGATGGTATTCTGTGCCGTCAAGTTGGAGTGACTCATAGCCAGCCCTCTAGTGGATTTTCAGAAGCAGTTCATTGCATGGGAGATCACGCACCTTTCTTCTATGGAGCAGCTGATGGATTTGAACCATGTGACTTTACGCTGCAGTTACTGCAAGGCTATGAGAGCTTCCTAGGTTAGATAAGAAAATACTAGTTTTAACTTCCTTGTTTTCATTAGTGTACTGTGGTTATGTAGGGGGCTCTGATGGCCTTGGAGTAGGCAGCTGCATTGCCAACCCAAAGGCACATGGTTCCAGTCCACCAGCTGCTGTGCAGGAGAAAGATGGACATTCTCCTATACAATTTACAGCCTTTGATAACCAACTTGGAGGGTCAGCTATGGATAAGTTCTCATACATGATAACATAAAATAAACAAATGCAGTTATGTACATGAATGTCCTTGTTTTTAGAAATACTCTTTGTCCTGTTGAGCAGCTAGTGGATTTAAACCATGTGCCTTGGTGTTCTCAGTGAGCTTTCTATAGAACACGTAATTGTGTTCACGAGAAATTGTCCATAGACCAAGAAGCAGATTTTTGGAGGAGAAGTGGATGCTGCGTGCTTTAAAATCAGGAAAGTTGTCAGGGTTGTATCCTTTCTCCATACACAGTCTATATGCTAAGCAGACAGTTCAAGAAGTTGTACTATATGAAGAAGAATGTGGCATGGAGATTGAAGGCAGACTCATCAACAACCGGCATTATGTAGATGACACAGTCTGTGCTCAGAGAAAGTAAAAATCTGAAGCAGTTACTGAAGATGAAAGACTACAGCCTTCAATGTAGAGTACTTCTCAACATCATGCAAAAAATCTTCACCACTGGATCAAGTAGACAGCATTATGATAGACTAAAGATTGAAGTTGTCCGTGATTTCATTTTACTTGGATCTACAATCAGCTCTCCTGGTAACAGAAGTTAGGAAAACCAGAAAATGTCCTGGATTCAGGAAATCTGAAAAAGAACTCTCCAAAGTTCTAAAGGACAAGAACATCAATTTAAAGACCCAAGTCATGATATTTCCATCGCATCATACTCATGTGAAAATGGGATAGTGAATAAGAAGTGCAGCCGAGTGTTCAGTGGAGGCAAGCACATTGAAACTCTCATACTTTGGGCATATCGTCCAGAAGTGCCAGTTGTTTGGAAAAGACATTGCGTTTGGAGAAAGGAGAATCAGCAAAAGAAGATTGTCAGTGACTGCAACAGTAGGTTGGAGCATGGCGCAGATTGTGAAGATATTGAAGGACAGGGGTACAGCCTTGCTCCATTGTTCATAGCCACTGCGTTGAGTTAGAGTTGGTTCAACAACAGCACATACAATCAACCACAAAAATTATTTCTAGAAATAGGTTTCACTGGTTTTCCATCTGCAGCGAACCCAACCCAAGACATTTTGCTATCAGAAGTTGTGCCTGAGTAACAAATTTAGTTACTTTCAGTGAACAAATTCATTGAGTGATGAATTTCCTTCATTAGTTAACAAGGCTTACTGGCTCTGGTGATTCTCTGGTAGTCAGGAGGGCACTAGCAACTCATTGTGGACGTGGCAGTATTGATATATAAAATATTACGTATTGGTCAAGAGCAGAGCACTACATGTTTGATACTTTTCTACAACTGTGTCAGAGTGAAAAGTATAAAGAAAAAAGCATAAAGATCTTAATATTCAGTAGACCGAGTGGTGAGAGAAAGATGCGATAGACTTCAGGTTCTGCTCAAATAGCTGAAAAACACAAAAAAAGACCTCAGAGTTGTCATTTGTGCCCTACAGGAAAGCCTTATTTCTTGAACTTAACAGCTAATACTGTTAAGAAATCCAAAGCTAGAGTCTTAAAATAAGAATGAATTACAGGACCAATTGAGTCCTATTCTGGAATGATGTCTGAAGGTTAAGTGAAGGCTTTGATGGGGAAGAAATGACATGTGCAGCTTGAGGTGGGCACATTTTGGTTGTGCTTGGGTGCCCTGGAGTCCGCTCTAGCTCATAGAGTTAGAATTCAAACTCAGTGTGATGGAGTCAGCCACGCTTTGGCGCCTGTGCCAGCCCCATGTCTTCTGTGCTTACACTTATAGTTGCAGTTATTGTCAGTCCATCTCATTGAAGATCGTCTGTCCATCACTAGCCCTCCACTGCTCCAAAAATGGCATCCTCTCCCAGGGGCTGGCCTCTCCTGATAACGTGCTGGAAGCATAGGAGACGAGGTTTTACCAGCTTGCCTTTCACAGGTACTCTGGCTGCACTGCTTTCATGACCAAGTTGCAGTGTAATTTGGCCTTCTTTCAGTGACATTTTGTGTTTCATTTTAAAAAATTTCAGCTTTGTTCAATTTCAAGCCTAATGTTACAAAGCTTGCTTTTAGGGACAGTGGGCAAATTGGAAGTCTTTTATGCAGTACCTACTGAGTAATGACTCAGAAGCCCTGAGTACGTCTTTTTTTCACTACTTTGGTCTACAGTTGACCAGCCAACCACCCTCCCTAAACTTCTCATCCTCACAGAATTGTGGAAAAGTGATTATCACATGATCACTCAGAGCCTCATTTCTTACTAATGGTTGATCTGTTCATGGTGATACTTTCGATATTACCTTCTCAAGCCATCTGTTACCAAATCCATCTTTTCTAATAGAAGGAGCTCTTGTAGCCAAGTGGGTAAGGGGTTGTCCTGCTAATCAAAAGGCACACGATTCAAATCCACCAGCTGCTATGAGGGAGAAGGATGGACATTCTCATGCAGTCTTCCCATACCACCAATGTGGTCTTCGATGTAGGCACATCACCAGTGAAACTCCCTTTCAACTGATTGTGCCATGGTAGATCTTGTCATGAAGGTTATGTAAGGTCTTATCAAGGAAAGGATTACTTCAGTTCTCCTCAGTGACCACATGATAGCCAAGCTGACACAACCCTAACTATCAAAACAGAAAGGAAGAGTATTTACACTTTAAAAAGCTTCAAGATTTCTCAGTGTCTGTAACAGAGATTGAAAATCCAGGTTCCAATACATGTTCTTTTCTGTAATACGATGAAGAGAAAATTGAATTATAATATTTTCCAAATTCACTAAAGGATGTATTTTCCTTTTAACGTTGTGTTTCCCCAGTTCTCTTAAAATTTTTACTACTTGCTACCACTGTTTTTGTAATCTATTATGAAGTGATACTTGAATTCTCCTAAAGTTTTATACTTAGTATTTTAAGGTTAGGAATGTTAACTTCTAAAAGCGTTTGCAAGGCCTTTCACAGTCTGGTTCCATTCCTCTCCTCAGTTTTATTCACTGCTATGGCTCCCTTTAGAATCTTGAAGAATTTAACTCCTGACTGCCACTTACTAACTGTGTGGCCATAAGCAAGGCATTCAGGAGAGTCCTTCCCTTCCTGGATTATCCTAATTACATGAAATAATGCAGTTAAAGTGCTTGTACAGGGCCTGGCATGTAATAAATACACAAGGAACACGAAACCCTCTGCTGTTGACAGTTTCAGTTCATCGTGGATCGTCTGTCAGGTTTCACGTGCTACTGCAAATCTTTGTGGGAGAAAACTACCCATCTTTCTCTCTTGGAGCCCCTGTTAGATTCAAACTGCTGATCTTTTTATTAGCAAGTCGATATGTTAAGTAAGTAAGCATCAGTGCTCCCTGAAGAAGTATTAGCCATTATTCCCTTGTTTTTCTGTTTAAATTTCAAATGTTTGTGTTCATTTACTGTTAGGACCTTGGAATCTTTGAATCTATTCTCCTTCTCTTTATGAACTAGCATAGTTAGCAGGGAGTTGCATTGCTAACCGAAAGGCCACACCTCTCAGAGACTTTAATTGGTCACAGTAATAAAGAGAGCACTGGTGGACTAGTGGGTAAAGAGGTGTGCTACTAACCCAGAGGCACATGGTTCAGATCCACTGGCTGCTTTGAGGGATCAAGGTGGATGATCTCTTCTCCTGCATTTTACAGTTTCTGAAAATACATTGGAGGTCAGCAATGAGTCAGTTCTGACTTGACAGCAACAACAAAGAAAAAAATGATGACAAAATTTCATCAAATATTTTTATTTGATTTTAGGGAAGCTATGCGAAATTATCTTAAAGAACGAGGGGATCAAACAGTGCTTATTCTTCATGCAAAGGTTGCACAGAAGTCATATGGAAATGAAAAAAGGTAAGCTTTTTGTATTTTGATAAAGTTATTTGTAGTTATTACACGAACTTGCAAATGAGTTGTTAATATATCTATACAAGAGGGTGGTTTCCATTATTGAGGTAATTTACAAACCTAAAACAAAATAACAAAGAGTGTATCTGTAAAAAAAAGGGGGAAAGGCAAATGAATATGGCTTGAGCCAGAAGAAGCCCTCAGTGTAGCCGAGGTTAAGATTTCACGAAATGACATAATGTAGAATTTTTCTTTTGTGCTGCACAGTTAATTAGCTCCATCACAAAGCAGCTCTCCTTTTGCTAGACAATATAATTATGTAAACAACTGCAGCCTCAAACTGTTACTTTTAAAAGGAAAAGCTATAAACAAACTCTTGATCCTAAAACTGTCTCGAGGTTTTTTTTTAGTTGAAGTACAAACAAATGTAAAGAAAGAACTTAACAATATTGAGAAAGAACCTCAACAAGATAGATGGACACAGTGCCTGCTGCAATGATCTTCAGCATGACAGAGGTGAAGAGGATATTGTTACAGGCAGAGTTTTATTCTACTTTCATAGGGTCCCTATGAGGTACTTAATCAATTTTCGTAGCATTCTGTCTTGCATTTTAGCACAGAACCTACATAGCAGAGCTTAAAATGCGTCACATTTCATATACTTAATGGGAGGTTGGTTTAAAAGTCGGCTTTTCTAACACTTACCTTAGGTCTCCAACTGGTCTCCGACTATCTTAACTGTAGACACATGGTTTTGCAAGTCATCAACAGCTTTGGGAATAGGATAAGAGAGAAAGTGCTTCCCACACTGTGGAGCAAGACTGAAGGGAGACTGGAGCAAGACCCTAGTGAGTCAGACTGGGACAAGACTCTGGCTTTTTGGACGAGACTCTGAGGCTTCTTGCATTTGTACTTGCCACAGTTAAAGTTTTTGTTTGCCAGAAGCTTGAAGGAGAAGCTGACTATATACCTTCTCTGGGGCAAACTTTGCTGGATGATTGGGGAAACCAGAGGCTTCTTGAAATTGTGCTGTTGAACCAAAACCAAGACTTTTACTAATTAATTGTGTTTTGTTGTTAATCTGGCTTGGGACTAAACCTGGACTTGTATTGTGAAATATTCTTTGCCCCTCTTGAAACCATAACTGTGAGTTAAATCTGTGAATCAACAAGGAATATCAAATCCATATGATTGGTGGAAAAGGTACAGAAGCATGGGTGGAGTAAGTCTGACCTAGCATTATTGTTTGCTGCTGTGGATATAATTAATGGGGAAAGTTCTCCTTTATGAAGCAGATAGAAGTCAGACTCAGCCACCCTCACATTGCATTGGTTCCTTTTACACTTAACTGTGCCCAAGATCTCTTACTGTCAGGTGGTAGTTACACTGTTGTGACCATTAGTGGGTTAAGGCTAGGCTGAATATAGTAGAAAGATGAATGGAAGAGTTTTATTAGTAGCTTTGTACCTGGGCAGTGCTGCTTTTGCTGAATGTTTGAGGGTAGATTTTATAGATTTCTTGATTCAAGTCATGACTTCTTTATTGCTGGAAGCCTATTGGGTGTCAGATATTTTACAAAAAAAAACCCTTTGAGTTTAAACTCACCATGCCATTTAAGGGTTTGTGTATAGTGCTTGAAAGCAGTTATTTAACTTTGAGAACCAAGATGGGCCTAATCCAAACCTTTTCATCCACCCCATACTACATGAAAGCTAGCCAATGAATAAAACTGATGATTGATGCCTTTGGATTGTGGGGAAGAATTAGCGAACTCTCAGAACACCAGACCAGTCTGTCTTAGAAAAGTGTAGCCTGAATGCTCTTTGGAGGCAAGGATGGGGAGACTGTCTTATACCTTTGTAGCATGTTTTCAGGAGGGTCAAGTCCGTGGAGACAGGAGAGTATGTTTCAGTCATTGAAGGAAAGAAAGACCTTCAACTGAATGGATCAGCACAGTGGCTGCAGCAGTGGGCGTTAAGCACAGCAGAGATTGTGAATGTGGTGCGGCACTGAGCATTATTTCATTCTGTTACACATAGGATCCCTGGGTTAGAGTTAACAACTACTAAGATGAACAATAGTACATCATTTATTATTCGGTTGGAGAACTCATAGTAAGAGCTGTTTCTACAAAGTATGTTTAAGTCCTTACCTGGCAGGTGAGATACCATGATCACGAAGGTGGTTTTCTCAGGGTGAGGCTTATCCGTTACCCTCCGGATCTGCTGACCCCTGCAGTTTCCCCAAATGTGGGGAACTCAAATGCATAATTTGTAATGGGGGGGACTGCGTTCATGCTTTCCTTAAAAAAATGAATTTTTAAAAAGTAAATGTGAGTCTACATAAGGAACCTAGCTAGGTGTTTTCTCACTATAGAAAATACTTAAGAATGCTGAAGAATCTAAGCTGCTAGCCTGCAAAGAGTTCATTAGGAAAAGGATCCAGTAACGACTTTCTTGTATTTTTACTAATTATAATTCTAGTTAACAAGAATTATTATTCAATTATTATTAAAATTTCTAAAGCAGACACACTTTTATAATAAATGAGGAAGCCCATTAGCATGAAAGTGTTCCTAACAGATTGTTAACATCCTCTCGCCCGCTCCATTCTTCTTACTGGCTAGCTGAGGCTTCTTCCTGGGTTAACAGACCAGGTTGGGTCTTTTTTTTTTTTTTGCTTAGGTTGGGTCTTTGATTTGAGCTTATGGTGAAGGGCACAGTGGAAAGTTGAGGGTGTGCTTCTCTAGGTGCAAGCTTTTCTAAAGAGGCATTGAGTTCAAGGTAACCTGGGGACAGGCCAGGCCACACTGGACATCCCCTCTTGGCTCAGACCTTCAATGAAGGAAGCTGGAAATATTTGGTTCAGAAAATGTTACCTTCCAATTTATAGTTGATTTTGATATTCATTTTTACATTTACTTGCAACATTTATTTGCCTGTCTGGCTTCTCATTTCTGTTCATGGTTAGTTTTACTTTTTACAAGAGTATCTTAATAAATAATAAAACCCTTATTCTTATGAAGGGTTTTTTTGTATGGGAGAAATGGAAATGTTCCATTAAAGATCAAAATAAGCCACGTCACAGAGTAAAATTACTTTGTCTCAGGGGATGTAGTTAAGCTGTAGTGAAAGTGAGTGTTAGGCTATTGTGACAGCTAACAATGAGATGCCATTTCTGAACTCACAGAAGATATATATTAATTGGAAATAATGGTAACAAGTACTTAAATATGGATGGAGCTTTTGAAGTGAACAGTTATCAGTGTAAGGAATCACTTCTGCAGAGATGTGAATTTGGATTTTGTCTTGCCTAGTGAAAACCGTATGTACAGTAGAGTCCACTTAGACTATCGGACATGGCAGCTGAGGCTGAGACCTCAAATACGGAAACACAAAGAAGCAGACACTAGTGATTGGCTTCGTTTGATATATTTTGGTCATGTCGCAAGGAGGGACCAGTCCTTGAAGAGGGACAGAGAAAGACCATCGATGACATGGATTGATTCAGTGACTGGGGTAATGAGGGTACTGGGGTAATGAGGGTAGGTGTGTCAGAGACAGTAAAGTTGGCACAGGATAAAAGCAGGGTTCAGGGTTATTGTACATAGGGTTGCTGTGAGTTAAAAGCGACTCTGTGGCACATAACAACAATTTTTAATCTATATTGAGCAGAGTAGAAATTCTTCTTTGAATCAGTTAGATATTTTCTGGACCGCATCTCAAAATTTGGGGGAAAGTTGTTGAATGTTCTCTGAAAATAGAGAATGATGACGTGAATAACATTTTCAGTGTGTGCACATTGCCACCAAGTGGCAGAGAAAGGCAATGTCAGTGTTTCTTCCTGTAACTATTGAGATTTGGGAGAATAAGGGCAATATTGTTTCATAAGGGTATCGTCCTTTCATAGCAGCTGTTAATACTCATTTGCCAGAATTTCTCCAGGATAAATGTGTTAAGCACAGTTCTATTTAAAAACTGTTTGACATAAAGTAAAAGAAAACTACACACTGAACTGTCCACATTTTTTGAATCCTAGACCACTGTAACCATAGACCACTAAAGATTTATACTTTTAGGTTAATTAGTAGTTTGCCTTTGTAACTTCCTTCCTTCCCCCTCCCCCAATTCTTCCTTTTGTTTATGTGTATGTGTTTTCTGCTTGATTTTTATATTACAACCTGAAAGTGTGGGAAAGTTTCATTCACTGGTATGTTTAGAGTAGGAATTCATGTTCACATACCTGAAATCTTAATGTTTAGATTATTTTGGCTTGGTATTACAACTTAAGTAAGGCTAGCTCAGAGACTTTGAAGCCTCTGTTTTTCTCACTTTTACTCCATGATAAGAGAGTACTTTCAGAGAGACCAAGGGGTCAGTGTTCAGAGTGGATCCAAGTAAAATGAAATCCTTGACAACTTCACTCTTCTCTGTCAACCTGTATGCTATTTTATAGATCCAGTTGTGAATTTTGTTTTATGTCATTTCTGTGCTTTTTAAGTTGGTGTTTCAAGTAAGGCTGTGTTACCTGCACATTACAGATTCTTGAGTGTTCTTCCAGTCCTGTTGCTGCATTCTTTTTATTGTCCAGCTTCTTGGATAGTGTCCGCAGCTTACAGATTGATTAAGTATGACCTGGGAGAGACAGGGCAGAAATTTCAAAGTATGAACAAGGTAGTATGTATAATTACATGGAAAGTGGATTAGCCCACATAAAAACTGAATTGATTGTTATAGGCATGTAAAGTATGAGTTTTAAACTAGACTTTTAAGTAAATAAAGGGGTTGGGTTTTTTTTTGTTTTTTCCGCTGTCTGCAGGAAGATTATAAGGAGCTATTTGGAGGTGGGAATTTGTGAGGGTGGTTGTAGGCAGCTGGCAAAACAAGAATGTGGGCTGGCTGTGAGTTAAAAGAAAACACTGTATTGTTCCTTTAGCATATTTCTCAGTCATCCACAATGAGTCATGTATTTTACTTCTAAGCTACATAGACCATGGCATTGCTCTGGAGAGCCCATAGCCTGGCAAAGCATTTCATAGAAAGCTTGAAAGGGTCTGCTTAAGCATTGCTCCAAATTAGTTTCTAGATTAGTGAATAAAGTGAAAGATAACAGCCATCACAATAGTGTCATTATTAACAAATAGTTGATTTCAAGTACCTTACTTAGAAAATAGTAAATAATTAAAATCTAAATCCCTAAATTTTAGACCTTAATTAGTAATTGCAGCTTCTGTGGAGGTACATTTGCTGTACAGTGTGATAGAGTACATTGAATTTGGTGAACTTGGAATTGAATATTTAAAGAGAAAATCTCTTAATATTAAAGCACAAGTCCAATATAGATGAACCTTACCTGAAAAATAAAGTCTTTGAGTAAGTCTTAATTTCTATGCTTTGGGAATTAGTCTTTGCATTACAAAGGGCTTCCTGCAAAGTTCTCATTAGGAGTTAACGGTGCATTTCCATATGGTTACTGCGTTCACAAATCTAATTCTGTTGGTTTTTTTCATCTGTAGGTTTTTCTGCCCTCCTCCTTGCGTATATCTTATGGGTAGTGGATGGAAGAAAAAAAAAGAACAAATGGAGCGTGATGGTTGTTCTGAACAAGAATCTCAACCATGTGCATTTATTGGAATAGGAAATAGTGAGCAAGAAATGCAGCAGCTGAACTTGGAAGGGAAGGTAAGGACGATTGGGTTGGCCCTCACTCCAGGCCCTGTGGCAACAAAGTGCAGGTTCCATAGTTGTTGTGGTAGGGGGTTTTGCTCTTTTCTTTTCATTATAACCATTAGTAACAATGTCATATATAAATCACAGCCAGAAATATACCTCTCAGCTGGCCACTGACTTTTTAATTCATAGAGCTCAGGCTGTTCTCATCTAACTGTGGCCTGTGATTAGCACTCCTGTTTTGCTAGAGATTTGAGCAGACTAGAAATCAGGGCTTTCTGTAAGAAGCTATATTATAATAAACTTAGGAGACAAGTTGCTCATTTCTGTCTGTCAGAGGAATGATACTCAGGTTTTTTGTTTTGTTTGTTTGGTGGTTTGTTTTTTTTTAATGAACTATGTAGTTCACTAATGTTTTCCTTCACTCTCTTAGTCTTATGCTGAATGTCACTTAACATAGGAACTTTAAGGAGTCCCTGGTTGTGCAGTGGTTGAAGCACTCACCTGCTTGGTAGGGGAAGATTATATATATGTGTGTGTAGATTATTTTGGTAACAAAATAATCACATGGTTTTGGTTTAACAGCCCAACTGCTGACTGATAACCTCACCAGAGAGAGGCCTCTAGGCAGAAGAAACATAAACTGGTTCTTTATATCTTATTTGGGTCAGCAACCTTGGTAGTAGCAGCACTCAAAACATCAAACATAGTTACGTTGGGAAAATCTACTCTCCACAGTACTAAAGAACAACAGTCAGTTTAAATGAACATATAGTCTTACCTTAGTCTTAATGTCAGGAGAAGGCTATTTATTGGAGACTGGACATCATGCTTGTGAAGGTGGAGGGATGGTGAAAGAGAGCAAGACCTTCAACCAAGTGGATTGACACAGTGACTGCAGCAGCACTGACCTCAAGATGGTGAGAATGGCACAGGATACAATAGAGATCATTTCTGTTGCTCATAGATTCTCTATGCATTGTACTTGACAGCACATAGTAACAACAGCAACTTGATCTATAATAAGCAAAATGATGAATTAAGACCATTGAGCTAAAGTATAGACTTAAGATTGAGTTAATAATCTGGGCAGTTTTAGGTTCTCATCCATTTCCTGTTAGAAGAAAGGACCCTAGTGTTGGAGTGGTTAAAACGCTTGACTGCCGTTTGAACCAACCAGACATTCCCTGTGAGAAAGATGTGACAGTCTGTTTCTGTAAAGAACAGAAAACCCTTGGAATCTTCACCCGGCAGTTCATTCCATTCTCTGGAGTTGCTGTAAATCAGTCTGCTCGACATCAAGTTGAGTTGATGTCACATCTGCAATAAGAAAGCAGAATATTATATAAGCACCCAACAGCAGGGCACCAAACACGTGCTGACTACACCTGCCCCGTGCTGACTGTCCCATCCTCAGACACTGCATATTTACAGCAGTAGTGAGATCTGTTTTACCCATGTAGCGGTGTACACATGGCAGTAATGAAGACTCTGGTGCTCGATACTGTAAATGAAAAGAGCCTGTTTCAAGAATGAATAGATAGACCAGTGGAATAGAATTCAGAACTCCACTCATTTAAGGAAATATTTCCACCTTTTATCAATGTGGTCATGGAATTCTTTTAAAAAAGGAGGATATTCAGTTTTTATCATTAGGTACTCATAATGATTTGAAAGATTCATTGCAGTTCTTCATATTTAGTAGTCCTGTAAGTTCACTGTCATGGCATTTGACTGTCTGTTGTTAGTATCTTGGAGCTGAGATTTCATTAGTGATGGTTTTGATTTGTTAAGTATCTTTCTTTAGCTTGTTTGCTTGCTTCCCTTTTTAATTTTTTTTGCATGAATTTTTACAAATCATATTGATTTTCCATTTATTTATATTTTCTTTTGCCACATTAATTATTACTACTTAGTTAGGGAGCTCTGGTGGCTTAGTTGTAAGGAATGGGCCACCAACTCAAAGGCAGGCAGTTCGAATCCACTGGCTCCACAGGAGAAAGAAGGGTAATCTCCTACTGTATGATTTACTGCCTCTGAAAACCTGCTGGAGGGTCAATTATGAGTCGGTTCTAGCTGGACAAGAAAACAGCAGTGTAACGAATTACAGTATATGTTCAATCCTTGATAGTAAATCTCCTTTTTTACTCAACTATTTATTTTTTTAATTTATTATTAATTTCAATGAAAATTTACAGAGACTTTGGATTTCCATTCATTCATTGTTGCACTTTTCTCCCTTCCCAAACCTCCCCCCTAGTACACTACCCTCTTGGAAAAGGAAAATTCTTTCATTGTTTTACAATCCCTCCCCCCAGGTCCAATCCACTATGCCATCTTCGCTCTGAACTCCAGTCATGACGAAAATACCTAATCACGTATCCCTTTTAAACAATTTTCTTCCTCACCTGTTTCATTGCAGAATACATTATTGAACCTATCTTTCTCAGTCTCCCCCCAACCCTGATGTTAGTCCCATTTTACAACAGTGGCACCATGCAGTATTTGTCCTTTTGTGACTGAGATGCCCTCCAGGGTCACCCATTTTGAATAATATTGCATGAGTTCCTTGTTTTTCAATGCAGCGTAGTATTCCACTGTGTGAATATACCGCAGCTTCTCTATCCATTTGTTTGTTGATGGGCACTTAGGTTGTTCCCAACTCCTTGCTATTGTGAACAAAGCCACAATAAACATGGGTGTTCATCAGCTGTTTATTTTTACTGCACTCTTCCTCACTTCTCATTCCTGTTAACCCCAGGATTTAATTTTGCTGTGTGCAAACCTTTCCTTAGCGTTTTGAAATAGTGATCTGTAATTGTTTTTTTGTGACTGACATGTCAGTCAGCATCATTTCTTCTAGATTCAGGAGTGTTGTACAGTGTTTCATGAAGACTTTACAGTTTATTAGTGATGCCTACTACTCCGTTGTGTGAATATGCTGCAGTTTCTTAACCATTTGTCCTTTAATGGACTCTTGGACTGTTCTGGCTTTTTGCTCTTATAAATGATGCTGCAATAAACATAAGTGTACATCTATCAGTTTGTGCCACAGTTAAGATGTATTTCTTATACAGTTACAAATCCAGCTCTGTTACAAAATAATAATTTCCCTAATTATCACCCTTGTGTTTTTCTTATTTGAAAATACATCCTCCACAGCTCTCTTGTTAGCACTGTTTTGCTTTCTAGAATTAGCGCTGATATGTATTCTTCATTTCGGGGCATCTTTTTTAAATATAAAAGGACGTATCCAGGTCATATAACCCTGGTGTACAAGTTGCCGTACTGTAGTCACTTGTGGTTGCTGTGGGGCTGAACACTGGGACACTGATGTGTCAAATGCGTTAATGGCTGGTTACCCAGTGCGGACAGAGAGTGGGGTGGAGCTCCTTGATTAAATAAGCCTGGAAGGAGGAGTGGCATCCACTTCCGTACTAGCTTACCTCCTCCGGAAACCCAGGCGCCCGAGTTTGCAAGGGCGGAGGGAAGCCCCGGACACCGGGGTCAGTGTGAGTCACCTGCGGCTTGACAGCACTTAACAATAACAACAACTTCTCCAAAATTAAAACAAGCTATATTTATTATTAAAGAGTTATAGCTATTATTTTCTATTTTCTCAATTTTGTAATGAAGGATTTTTTTTTTTTCTTCCCTTCCCCACTCTCCTGCGTGCACATGTGTATGTATTTCCCAAACAAAAACCGCAGCTTCAGTGGGTAGGTGCTGTGAACTCCTGCACCTTTTATTTTCATGTCGACTAGTCTCATTTATGTAGATTGCAGTATTTTTTAAAATACAACTTCTGTCCATTTATGTTAATATTCCAGTTACAGGATCTCACCATTTATTAGCTTCCCATTGGAATATAAAGACTTTGATGTCTTTCATTTGGCAACCTGTGACTGTTACCTTTAATGGATTCATGCCCCTTTTCATAGAGTTGTCTTACGTTACAGAGGCACTCTCTAGTTAGGCTTGTTTAGACCTTCGCTGTTGTCACTTACAGAAGTGCAGCGGATTCATGGCTTCTGCCACAGGACATCACAAATGCCACCTGCGAGCACGTGGAGATCCTGAGATCTTCAGGCTCTGTAGAAATGCAATGAACTTTTTATTTTTATTTTTACTATTATTAATCCTAGATTAATTTTGCCTCTGCGTGGAAACGGTTCTTAAAGATTTTACAGCATTCTTTATTATAAAAGCTTAGTTGAATGTGGACTACTCTAAATGAGTTACGTTTCCTTTTTCTATAGCTTTGCATTTGAGAACTAAAATAAATGAGTTCTTGAATAATAGTTGTTCTGCTAGTGTGACTGTCCACAAGTAAATTTTTGAAGATGGGAAAACCCAGAACTCAATAGCTCTTTCTTAAATGAGTAGCTTCTGCCCTGCCTTTTTTTAAGCTCTGCCCTGCTTTTGATTGTGATTTTGTTGCAAGTTTTTACAGTAAGTTGGGCCCCCGTTTGGCTGTTTCTGTGCAGATTGCCTCACGATCTTGCTTACACTCATTACAGTGTGTCTGCATTTTCCTGGCATTCGCTTTGTTCCATTCCTGTAGTCCGGTTTTCCTGACCTTTTTCTTCTCATCTTTGCTCTTGAATAAATAATTGAATGTTACACTGATGGCTTTTAAGTGGCACAACAATTGTTTAAAGTATTGTCCTTTATTTTATGGGCCACTCAGGTGTCCTGTTAAAAGGCAGTCTCAGGGATTGGCTCCATTCCAGGTTTAAAGAGTGTTTCAGGGTGACGTCCCAAGAAGTTTCTGTCTGGAGATCTCTATCTATTAAAATCGTTTTAAACACAGATAATGCACACTTGCTCATTGCTGCTGAGTCAGAACCCACTCAGAGCCGACCTCTTTGGGGTTCCTGAGTCTGTAAATCACACAGGAGGAGATTGCCCGTCCTCCTCCTGCAGAACCTCTGGCCGATTCAAACTGCCAGAGAAGCACCGCCTTTGGGTTTGTAGTGTAACTCCCAGCGTGCTACTGCGTGCTCCCTGCCAGTGTGCCCCAATACAATGCATGAGTAGATCTGTGTACACTCGTAGGTGTCCACAGATAGGTATAAACACAAACTCACTGTCCTCAAGTTGGATCCAACTCATAGTCCCCTTTCCTAGGGTTTCTGCAATGGTAAATCACAGTAGGAGATTGTCTGACTTTCCCCTTCAGAGCAGCTGGTGGATTGAGTTAGACTAGCATTATTTCCCTTAGACATTCAGTTAACTACTCTAGAATTAGCGAAACATTATATGTACTGTTTTAAGAAGAAATACTGGTAAAAACCCTTTGCTTAACTTGATTGAATTCTGATAGCTTTACTTATGTGTTGTTCTTTGCAGAAAAATAAAGCTAGGCTTTTGTGTCTGTAAAATTCTATTTGTAAAACGTACTCCTATACCATTGTGTGATAATTCTGTGAAACTGATAAAGAATGAATTCTGTAACTGATAAAGAGCTGTTAGAAATAACATTCTTTTTAAAGGTGATATTTATGAGAGGGTGAGATGGATCAGAACTTTAGTACCCTCTTCGTAAGGGAGAATTAAACCTAGTCAAACTTGGCTGTTCTCATTCTGAGTAGTAGGTGCATAGACAAAGTTTTGATGTGATTATAACCTTGCCTTCCTTCCACAGAACTATTGCACGGCCAAAACATTGTACATATCTGATTCCGACAAGCGCAAACACTTCATGTTGTCTGTGAAGATGTTCTATGGCAACAGTGATGACATCGGTGTGTTCCTCAGCAAGCGGATCAAAGTCATCTCCAAACCTTCCAAAAAGAAGCAGTCACTGAAAAATGCTGACTGTATGTCTACCTCACCTCACTTCTCTGTATCTACCCCCCTTCCTCTCTCTTCCTCCCTCCCTCCTCCTCCCCCCTTTGCACTGAAAATTTAAACCACTTTAAAATTAGAAATTCCTCTTTTGTTGACCAATTTATACTTCAGTATACTTTGGTTCTTACTTCATCTGAGTGTGTGGCATTCAGTCACGATTGCTGATTTATTAAAGTGCAGTTGGGAGATGTCTGGTTCAGGGAAGTGGTTCTCAGCCAGCGTTGGTTTCTTACTGCTCCCTAGTAGCATTTGGGAAAATGAGATTCCCTGCCTCATCCATGCCAGGGGACGGGAAGAGATGCTACATGTAGGCACTGAATGGCCTGCTGTCCCCCAGAAAATCCTGTCACAAAGAATTGATCCTCCTAGAAAGTCATGCGTGCCCCTTAAAGAGCACTGTTAATATATCAATGAGGAGGGTGACCTTGGACACAGACACACAGTTTTCTAGATCTCAGCAGCAAATTTTTTGATGAGTCAGAGATGAGTTGATAGTGCAGAGCTTTCTGTGTGTAAGTAAGCTTTATTCATACTTACCTCCTACCTTCATACTTTATTCTTCATACTTACCTTCTCTTCTTCCTCTTCCTCTTTATAATGAACCTTTTTACATATACATGAAAGAGGGGAACTGTGTTGTGTTTGTTTTGCTTTGCTTTGAAGTCATTTCCATTGATTTTGATTTGCATCTCCCTAGGAAGCAGTAGGGACCTAGTAGTAAGGAGATGCACTGCCAACCCAAAGACATGGGATTCTAATCCACTAGTTGCTCTGCAAGAGAAAGATGGGCAGTCTCCTTCCATGCAGTGGCTGCCTCTGAAAACTCACTGGAGGGTCAGCTATGAGTTGGTTCCTACTCGGCGATACATAACAACCTAACCATCTACTAATGGAGCCTTAGTATCTTCGTAGTTAACAGTTAGTTCTCAGCCTCCCTACCAGCTACTCTATCAGAGAAAAACGAGCATCATGTCTTTCCAAGGACTGGCCCCTCCTGGCAATGTGCCCAGAGTATATGAGGGGAAGGTTCCCCATCCTTGCTTCTGAGGAGCATGCTCATTGCACTTCCTTCAAAATAGATGAATTTGTTCTTTATGCAGTCCATAGCATAGTCGATAGTAATCTTCTCCAAAACCGTAATTCACAGGCATTGATTGTTCTTAAGTCTTCCTTATTCACTATCCCAACTTTTGGAGGCATAGGGAACAACTGGAAATGCCATGGCCTGGATCAAGCACACCTTCATCTTTAAACAGACAAGATTGACGAAACGGAGTCATTTGCCCATGAGGGATTGTATTCTGCATTTTGCTGATTTCATTCACTTGGTGTAGTTTTCATTTAATCTAGACACTTGAGTATTCTTTTTGTTGTTGCTGAAGAGCAAAGGCTGCTTCATAGGCAGCTGGTGTATTCTTTTATCAGAAGAACAGACACCATATATTCAGACTGATATTTTCCAGTCAAATGTAAGATCACTTAACCTCTTTAATTAAGTACTTGAATGTAAATTTCCTGCTGGTAGAGAACGTATTTAATTTACTGTTTATGTAGATGGTTTTGGTTAGGAAATTTTAAGTAATATCATACTTAAAAGGTATTTATGTGTTAAACTATTAATAATCATCATAACTTATTGTGTAAAAGTATTTTATGGGTCTCTCATTTCCTCAACTCCCCTGTCACCTACCCCTAAAAAACCCCACCCAACTTAGAAGCCCTGTAAAGCACCATGTCAATCTGCACTCCGCTTCCCTTTGCAGTGTGCATTGCATCAGGAACAAAGGTGGCTCTGTTCAATCGACTTCGATCCCAAACCGTTAGCACCAGATACTTGCATGTAGAAGGTGGGAATTTCCACGCCAGCTCGCAGCAGTGGGGAGCATTTTACATTCACCTCTGTGAGTATAAGAGTGCCTTGGGTGCTTTGGGTGTGAAATCGTGAAGTTCCTTCAGATAATGGACATATGAATATATTAGGTTTGTTTTTTCCATTTCTCTGAGTAGAAACTGACTTCTGAAAGAAATGATTGGATCTCTTTTTTCCCCCGCTCACTGTAGTGGATGACGATGAATCAGAAGGAGAGGAATTCACAGTGCGCGATGGTTACATCCACTACGGGCAGACGGTCAAGCTTGTGTGTTCCGTTACCGGCATGGCACTCCCGAGATTGGTACGGCGCACCTTTGAATTGAGTAACTTATTTAACAAAATGAATTCGTACAACAGAAAACCACATTTTATCGTTAACAAGACAGTCCCATGTCATTGTTTATAATTGACACATATCTCAACTTTATCTCGGAATGATTGTAAGGCAGCTAACAGCTTTGCATGAATGTATCTAATAACTTCCTGTTCTATTTTTTGAGAAATGTATCTGAAAATATCCAATAGACTAAGGCACTACAAATTACACCATGATTTCTTAACTAAAGCAGATACACTGTATTTCCTTATGGAACTTGCAGGATTTCAACATAGGGCCAAGTTTCCAAGAGGATAGAAATTCTCATTCATTTTAAAACACTTTATATACCTTATACTAGCTTACTCTCCCACTAGAACGTGGGCTGGTGGTGGTTGTAATGTGCCAGCAACTTGACTGTGACTCCTAGTGACCCTCTGAACGACAGCTCTGAACCCTGCCCCGTCCTGAGCCAGCCTCACTGGCTCTGATTCACCTTTCCCATGGCCACAGTCACGGTGTCAATCCATCTCATCCAGGGTCTTTCTCTCCTAAGCCGACCCTTCTTCCTGAGTAGCATGATGTCCTTCAAGGATCAGCCCCTCCTCATAACATGCTCAAAGATAATGAGACAGAGCTTCGAAATTGCTGGCTCCAAAGAGCAGCCTGGTCTCACCCGCTACAGGGCAGACGTTCCTGGTCACCGTGTGGAGTACCAATTCCTATCAACTACCTATACTAATGAAATCAATGACAGAAGATCCTTGTGTGACAGATTCAATCCGCACAAGAAGGTAGATTCATATGAAATTAGCTAACATTGGCGTTCCTGCCTTTGGGAAGGAGACAGTATTTGACACTTTTCATTTCAATACGAAGATCACAAAACTTTAAAAATTACTTTTCCTTGTGAAAACAAAAATGCTATATCTGTGCCTCTTCCTCTTCCCAAGTTGTCCCCTTCTCTTCTGGGACAGAGGAACCCTGGTGGCCCTGTAGTTAAGACCCAGGTTGCTCACCAAAAGATTAATGGTTTGAAACCAGCCAGTGGACTCCAAGGGATCAGGATGTGACAGCTGCCATAAAGATTATACCTTTGGAGACCCTATTAGAGTTTTCTCTGCCCAGTGGGGTCTGTGAGTTAATATCAGTTCAGCAACAATGGTTTGGTTTGAGTTCTTGGACTTTTCAAAAACAATGTTCTTCCCTCCTCCTGGAATAGAATATAGTTAAAGGTGAACACTGACGAACAAGTTTTTTATTTTAAGATCCCATTGAAGGGGTTGGGGAAGTAGAGCACCATGGTACAACTGTTCCCAAATATGCTTCATTTTCAGCTCTTTGGTGAAATAATTCCTTGATTTATGTTTTCTGGGCCTTTTCCAGCAGGGACTAGGGTTAAAGATTACATGATGTCAGTTTTGATACATTTTTTGCTTTCGTTTTCTGTATTATGCTTATATACAGTGACTTTATTTTCTATATAGTTTCATAAGCCAAGATGTGTGAAATGTGGTGATACTACATTTATGAAACCTCAAAACAGGGAAAAGTGACACTGTAAAGAAGGCTGTGGAGAAGAAAGAATCAGTGTAAAGAAAAACAAGCACACTCTAAAAACAAACTGCACCGACATTTCCTTTTGTTCTCATTCATTTCATGCCTCTCTCTAGTGAGAATGTTGTATATTTCCTTTAATAGTAAATGTTTAGACTACAGATGCCCAATTTTAGAGGCTTATGCCTTAGATCAGATGCACTTGTACCAAAACAAATGCAGTAGCAGCAGTTTACTCTGGAACTACTTGGAAGACATACCCACCACTTAAAATAGTGTTTCTCTTAGAGTTTTATGTAAAGTACAAGTGCTCTGCCTGGCTTGAAAGTTGTCTTTTAGTTTAATGTTTTGCCACTTGAAGTTATGTGGCTCTGATTATAACTGCAGACACGTTCCAAAGAGAACACCTTGACAGTTAAAGACTTTTCTTGCTCACCGTGCACGTACACATTCTTGAAACCAGACAGAAGATCCTTAGGTTGTAAATTAAGCCCTTCCTTCAATCAAGGACAGTCTTGAGTTCCAACCATTGTCACTTCCCAACCTTTTTGCTTTCTGTTCATGAACAGAATTGCAATCAGTAAACGCTGTTTTACTCAGTTAACTAATCAGGTTTTTCTTCTCATTAAGTGACACACCCACAGTCGTTTTTCAGAGATGAGGGATGCACTGTCCGTTTTCTCCCTGATGTTGGAATGGTTGTCATTGTCACTGGAAGATCATCCAAAAATGGCTACTGAGAGATCAGCATCAGCATCACTTGGGAGCTTGTTAGAAATGCAGAGCGACAGGCCCAGCTGTGATGTCTTGTTGCATGATGTACTCTTTCTATAGTGAAAACTGTCACTTGATGTGTTTTACGTTTTATTTTTTTTTAACTTGGTGGACTACAGATAATTAGGAAAGTTGACAAACAGACCGCCTTATTGGATGCAGATGATCCTGTCTCACAACTCCATAAATGTGCATTTTACCTTAAGGATACAGAAAGAATGTACTTGTGCCTTTCTCAAGAAAGAATAATTCAGTTTCAGGTGAGTTCATAAATGACTGATACAATTGAAAACCTCTACAATTATAAGTTAGCAGCTTAGAGCAATATGAAGCTCTCTTTTGTTGTTGTTGTGTATCATCCAGTTGGAACCGACCCATAGCTGAGCCTCCAGCAGGTTTTCAAAGGTGATTTAATTATATAGTCGGAGATTGCCCATCCTTCTCCCACAGAGCATGTGGTAGATTTGGACTACAGGCCTGACACAAAGAGCTTGGAACAATGAAAATATTGTCAGAAATTATTTCAGTGCTCTTTATCTGGGGATTAAAGTGTCCCCTCAGGACATCCTCAGTAAGATGTATCTGAAATTGTACACAAACATTGTATGTAAATATGTGTCTTTCTCTGGAGACAAGTTCTTCATTTTCATCACGTTTACGTTGGAGTTTCCCAAGCTAGTAATGTTTCAGCATGTTTCAAAGGCTGTTTTTAAACTACCTTTTACTCTTGGAGCTTTACTAGGACACTATGACATAAGTAAATGATTCAGCAAGATAGTTAAAGGTTCCTGTGAAACTCTCAGCTATCTGGAGCTGTGTTGCAGAGAGATGAGAGCAGGGGGGTCATCCCCTGCCCAGCACTGAGGGTGTGCAGGGACCCTGAGCGAGGTGTTGGGTTTTCCTGCTGAATGTCCCTGTCTCGCTTTTCCCTAAGCATGTCCCCTGTCTCTCCCTCTTACTGTTGTGTGTCTTCAACTCAGAACTGACCCATTACTGGTCCTGCAGCAGATTTTCAGAGGCAGTAAATTACAGGGCAGAAGATTGCGCATCTTCCTCTTGTAGAGCAGCTGGTCGATTTGAATTGCCTACCTTTGAGCTGCAGTGCAATTCCTTACTACCCAAGGCGCTGCAATCCCAAAGGTATGTGTTGGGAATCCACCAGCTACTTTTGTGGGAGAAAGATGCGCAATGTCCTCTCATGCAGTTAAACTACTTCTGAACACCTACTGGAGAGTGAGCTCTGAGTCCATTCTGACTCAGCGACACACAACAAAAACAAGCAGCCATCAGAGCTCCTTGTCTTCCTAGTGACCACAAAGAGATAAACAGCTCTTTACGTGACACATACTGGCTTCTTAAGTAAACTCTTCCTTTACTGCTATCTTAAAGGTTAATCGAAACGTTAGTTACTTTGCTATCACAAAGACTCTGTTCTAACCAAAGCTGCTTTATAGGGTTTCCATTAGAGATACACTATGAATATAGGGATTGCTTTGGGGAAGTTTCTGTAAATCATTTCTTCATTTCCTCATTAATTCTAGTCACTGAGTATTATTTTGCGAAAAATTCTTTTGTACTGCAGGTATGTAAAACTCAGTTTCTAAACATTCTTTCTTCATAAGGCCACTCCATGCCCAAAGGAACCAAATAAAGAGATGATAAACGATGGCGCTTCCTGGACAATCATTAGTACGGATAAGGCAGAGTACACGTTTTACGAGGGGATGGGCCCCGTGCTTGCCCCGGTCACACCTGTGCCTGTCGTAGAAAGTCTTCAGGTGAGATCACGTCTCACGAGGTGCACTTCAGCTCTTGACAACTGCTCTCGGCTCTGAATGTTGGCATGATTTTTTCCAAATACTTCTGATTTTTGCACCAAATTCATTTGAGATATATATATATATATCAATTAAAATGACATTTGGATGCATATGCTTACATAAACATTCGAGTCCACTTCTCATCTTGAAATGTTTTACTTTGGTTATTTAAAAGAGGCATTTCAGTTATGACTGTTCCTTTCACATGTCCGTTGTGTCAGCACCTAAGCTATGTCCTTTTTTGCAGTTGAATGGCGGTGGGGACGTTGCAATGCTTGAACTAACGGGACAGAATTTCACTCCAAATTTACGAGTGTGGTTTGGTGATGTAGAAGCTGAAACCATGTACAGGTAGGTACCCAGTCTAACTTCTCATGTCGTCCCAAGCTTTGGGAGAAATGTATTGGTCAGTCTTGTTGTCGATAAGAATACAGTAATCAGCTTTTAGATTTGCTTTGTTTTCTCTTTAATTTGCCTTTATTTCTCTTTTTGCTGCAGATGTGGAGAGAGCATGCTCTGCGTGGTCCCCGACATTTCTGCATTCCGAGAAGGTTGGAGATGGGTCCGGCAGCCAGTCCAAGTTCCAGTAACTTTGGTTCGAAATGATGGAATCATTTATTCAACCAGCCTTACCTTTACCTACACCCCAGAACCAGGGCCACGGCCCCACTGTAGTGCTGCAGGGGCCATCCTTCGAGCCAACTCCAGCTAAGTGCCCCCGCCAACGAATCAAACACAAATAGCGAGGGAAGTTACTCAAACGTCAGCACAAATGCCACCAATGTCACATCGTCGACAGCAACAGTGGTGTCCTAACTACCGTCTTTTTGGTAGGACTTAAACTGACTTGAGTGCTGCAAAAAAGTTAACAAAACAAAAAAAGGAAAGAGGAAAAAAATAAAAAGAACTATCTTTTGTGGTTTCTTGGGAAAACTTTTCATATCAGATGATGCTTTTGAGAAACCCTATTACCTGCAAATGCTGATTTGAAATGCAGAAGCCACAGTAAAACAACGGGAAAAATATCAACAAAACCACAAACATCAAAATGTAAAAACTATTGGAAATCGTTTTTGAAGTTTTTGGGTTTGGTGTTTTTTTGTTTTTGTTTTTTTAAAATTTTTCAACTGTTTTTATTTGGTTGGTTGAGTTTTGTTTGATTTCCCTTGAATGGGCAAGAAATACAAAAGGTGGCTGGAATGAGTTACTCAAACTAGAAGACACAACCCAACATAGTTTTTATGGACCAAGGAACTTGTATAAGCTTTAGTAAAGGGTACATGCTCACCATACGTTTTTTATATTACAGTATGTAGTACACTTTTTGTTACCAAATAGGTTGCTCCCCTCCGCGCCCACTTGGAGCTTCAGCTCTAAAGTACATTGGGGTTCCCAGCCTGACCAAGCTTGTTCAATTACAGTACTCTTTGAGAGTTTTTGGGGGAGGGGGAGATATGAGGCTGGAACTGATTTGTTATGTTTTGTTTCAAGCTGAAGTTACGACTTTTCATGAATTGAAATGGTTTTAGATTTCAGCAAGTCAAATCCTGTAAAGGCCTGCATTTTCTTTTTTAAGATGATATGAAGTCTGTGCAAAAGCTTTAAAAATATGCCTCTGCCTTGCCTGCAATACATGCAACGTACGTTAACCTAGTCTCTCTTCTCAGACACTGTTGTGTTAGTTTTTTCTGTGTTTTTTTTTTCTTAAAGAAAAAAAAGACCAGCGTATATTTATAGTGGTAATCCAAGAGTTTCTACCATTTACATGAAATTAATTGTGGGTGTTTAGTCATTAATGAATTAATGGCTCACAACTCGTGGGATTTGACCTTTCCCCCACTCAGAAGCACATCCTGAAATCTGGAATTCGTTCAGGCTGTTTTTTTATTTGGTCCTTCCCTCTACCCCCCCCCCTTTCCTAATCTTGTACATAACTTGTATTATGTGTAAGTTAAACATTTTATTTTGAAATCTTCCCAGTGATTCCAGTCAGCAGGTTGTGTTCTGCCTTCTTGGTATATGACAATATCATGAGAAGTATTTGCTACCAGCTGGTAGATGATACCCCTGATTGGTGTATAATGAGGAAAATCTCTTCAAAAAACATGTGTTTTTTTCTCTACCACCAGCACCACCCCCTGTCTTGTTAGCCTAGTCCAAAATATTTTAATCTTAAAACATGCCTTTGTTAGATGATGAACTGAAATAGCTGGAAGACAGTGCAGTACTTTAGAAACAGCTAGCTGTAAGATTTTAAAATGCAAATGTAACATATCTTTCCATCTCTCCTGCCTTTTCCCCCGACTCCCCCCCGTACTGAGCATCTTCAGTCCTTTGTGCTGTTCTCACACATGTCTCCCATTCAGAAAACATGTCTTTTTCCATTCAGTTCCAATTTGGTCGCATTCAGATGTGTGTTGGCCTTGCCAAGTTCACCATTCTCAGTTTGCTCCCATTTCCACACTGTGAGTAAGCTTTGGTCCCTTAGAAATGACAGCAGACTGATGGGCTACATTCTGTGTAAGAACTTCATGTATAATGTAGGACATGGTGTGGTAGTATAATCATCCTTTGAGTAAAAACTACCTCTAGGTCGTGGTAAACTTTTACTAGCCCATAAAACAGGAGCCGCAGGTACCTTATGAATGCATACCCGCTAGTTCTTACAGTGTTCCCATTGAGAACATTGTCTTTCTGGTGTCCCAGCTTGTTTTCATAATGTTTCCATTTAGACATTTTTTTTTTAAAGTCATTTTTACTGCATCTTCTCCACTTCCCAGTGTAGCTGTCTTTGTCCTTCACTGGTTTGCTCAGACTGCCATAGCAATGTGCAGTTTCCAATCTCTTAAAACTTTTTTCCTCAGCTTTCAAGATGAAATTTGGTTGAGTCAGAGTTACTGTGGTTTTTCTTACTGTAAGCCTTCTGAGTACCCATCCCCAGGCTTCGGTAGGTGACTGTAGCCTTCTCCTCTCAAATCTGCGCTCCTCGCTAGCGCCTCTCCTGTAAACTAATCCTGCCTCACACCTTAACTGTTCCAGGGGCAGAACTCATTGTGGCCTTAACCTTTGTTTTTACTGTTGACTGGGTTTAACTCGCAGGCTTACTTATTTATGAGTATACTCGAGTCACAGAAGTAATCCGTACACAGTGCTTTTTGTTCAGAGTGTGGAAATACTTTGAGTGCTGCTTTACTTTCAGTAGGCCACAAATTTCCTCCACTTCCTAGGTTTGGTATTTAGTTTAGAAATTGTATCAAATTAACCAATAACAGATGAGATGCTTTTTAAGAACAAGCTATTCCATACTAAGCTTTGCAGCTCTGAATAGTTTTTCAAGTTCATGGCTTTATCAAAATGAACTTTTGTTTTATGTTTATATATCTCTTATTTTTAATAAGATAATTGAAGTATTAGACTGTAAATGGTTCTTTTTCTTTTTAAAAGCCCAAGAATGTACCTATAGGCATTTCCCCCACTTATTTTATAAAATGTCTTTATTTCATACTGCAGACTAAAGAGTGAAATGTTATACCTTATTCTTTATCAGTAGTACTTCTTTTTTTGTCGGCTGCTTTAAAAAAATTCCTCTCGTGGATTTGTGATTCTCAGTATGTGACTACATTGCCAACCAGGTAATGTAGGCTGCCTGTCCCCTCCATTAGTAATGGCATTATTAGAGACGCTGGCCTCTTGCCCTCATGATGCCTCTTAAAACGGTGAAGTCCGTTCACCTCTGGCTCTGTTCTTGTTTTAAGATCCTATTTAACAGGGATCTTAATGCTGTCATGAATCTATGCAATATCTGAAACCTAACGCACGGAAGCTGATCCAGTGAGCCTCTATCAGCTCCACTGGATAGATCACATCAGTTGGAAAGTCTTGAATACAGGCGGCCCTTTGTGTGTGGATTTCAGAGTTGAACACTAGCACAGTGCCTAGCCTGCCGCCGCCTTTTCTTCCATTCTGGCAACTAAAGGCACTCTTATGACCTATATTAATTAGTGCACTCTTCTGCCACTCAGATCACAACCGGTTGATTTGGTTTGGTTTTTTCCTCTGTGCAGACTGGCACCATCTGTGCCCCCTCGCAAAAAAATTTCCAATGTAGTTTTTGGAGAAACAAAACTAACCAGCTATTCATGTTTAACCAGATAATCCACAAGGGGATTTCTTTTTGAAAGAAAATGCTATTCAATTATTAACCAAGTTACTTTTGATTTCAAAAGCAGCTGTGTTTCTGATGAGTACTGAACAAATGTGTGTGATTTTTCTGTGCCAGACTTTTGACTTTGTTTTCAAGCACTGTAATGTGGGGTGGACGGTTAGAAACAATAATATATTAGGGTTTCTCTTTAACCCTTTCAGGACTGAACTGCATCTCCTTTGATTAATTTTTCCCCCCTGTGTTGTGATAAATGTTTGCCAGCAGTCCGTTCTGTGTTGGTCCAGATGTAGGTTTATATGCTCATTTTTAGCTTATTTCTTGTACCTTGCAGCATGCTCTACACATTCAGTCCTTAAGGGGTTTACTTTACAAACTGTGCGCCTGTAAGGTTTATTAGCAATAAGATAGAAAATTGAGCAAATTTATACCATAATTTTGTAGGAAAAAAATAAAATTAAAAAAAAGAATCTGCTCAGCCCCCTATTTCATCCATGAAAAACCTGCAATATGGGCAGTTTCGCGGAATAAATAAAAATGAAATGTAAACCATTGTAAAAGTCTCTGGTTGATGTCCCTGATGCATGTACTGCCGTCGTGGGTTTCAGACTCCTTCATAAAGATGAAATGAAATCCCATCTTACAGTTGGCTTGTTTACAGCCTCACCTTGCCGCCTCTCTAGCATCAACATGCTAGCTGGACTCATCTCCCCGTTAATGATTTTAATTAGACAGTGTCTAAAGAGATGTGGTGGAGGGGTTGGGGGAATTTTCCTCTCACTTGAAGAGGACATGGTCTTTGTTACTCAAGAAGCATACTTCTTCCCTCCCCGTCCAGGACTATGTCAAGCTTCCCCACAACCCTAGAGGGCTCTGCTTGATAGCAGCTTGCTTTTCCATTGCAGAGTTGTCATTTGGTCTGGTGTACAAAAGAACATTATAGCATGTGTCATATCCAACCACATACAAATCCATCTCCTTTCCACAAAAGAGCATGGTCATTTTCTGAGGTCCATCTTGTCGGAGAGACACTGAATCTATTCTCCTCTTCAGGGGTGTGGGGCTGGGGCAGGAGAGACGTTGAACCAGTCCTTAGATGGTCACCAGTTAACGGATACAGAACAAACCTGAGTAGATCCTGTATCTAGGACATGGGATTGGGGAGCAGGAAGAGAAAGAAACTGAAAAGTAGATACTTTTTAAAAACGTTCTAACAACAGTTTGGGGAAACTGATTAATCTGATGGATATGCAGTACAACACTGTTGTGCCTGTCTTCGTAATGGGTACCCATGGTGGACAGTGTTTGCTGGAGTTTCCTGACTAAAACAAGCCTGGAAGCAGGAGCGACATCCACTTCCGAAATGGCTTGCCTCCGGAAACTCTATGTACGAACAGTGCTCAGGCCTTTCATTCATAGTGTCGCTATGAGTCGTCTATAACTCGACGGCACCTAACAACAACATATGAAGTACAAATGATTCATCTTGACCTCGGAGTTAGAATCTGTAAGGTCAAGAGGTCAAAATTATAGATAAAAGATGATAGATAGATAGATAGATAGATGATAGATAGATAGATAGATAGATAGAATGAATAAGCCTTGGACCCAGGATGAAACTGTAGGAAGGCCAAGGTCATCTCAGCTTTGGCTT